CTTCTCTCAGTCACTCATACATAAAACCAATGGTTAAATTACTATTTCCACAAATAGTTGTAAGACTTCAAATGCTTAAATAAGGGACCTGGGGCCACAGAACAGCAATGAAACCCAGGATGCCAACCCAGCTGATTTTTTTTTAATGTGGCAAATAGAACATAAAATTTACCATTTTAACCATTTTTAAGTGTACACTTCAGTGGCACTGAGTACATTCACAATGTAACCATACCACTATTTCCAGAAAAATTTCAACATCCTAAACAGAAACTCTGTACTCATTAAAGTAATAACTCCCTATTCTCCACCTCCCACCCCAAGCCCTGGTTATCCTTAATCTACTTTCTATCTCTATGAATTTATTTATTCTAGGCACCTCATATAATTGGAATCATATAGCATTTTTTCTTTTGTTTCTTTCACTTAACATAATATCTTCAGGCTTCATCTGTGTTGTATGTAGAATGTGTATTAATGCATCATTTCTTTTTAGTATGAAATAATATTCCATTGTATGGATATACCATGTTTTGTTTATCCATTCATTTGTTGATGGATAGTTGGGTTGTTGCCACCTTTTGGTTATTGTGAATAATGCTGCTAGGAACATTGGTGTGCTGGTTTTTTGGTGTTTTTTTTTTAAACACTAGAAAGAACCCAAACTGAATCAAGGGGTGGAGAATAAAAACAGGTTTCGTATGCCTCTGTACTTATCCTCTCATAGTGTTTATCCCCCTCAGTAGTAATTGCCTGCCTAACTTTGAATTGCCCGCTAGATTGCAGACATTCTGAGTAGAGCCACGTCTCCCACACTGGTGGCTCAGTGAATGCTCAACCTAGTTAAGCTGAACTATACTTCCCAGCATGCCCCTCCTGAACGGTTCTGGTTAGAGTGGAGCAGGAGGAGACCCAGAAGATCCTTGTGGGAGGTCTGGAGGAGGGAAATAAAGCAGCAGCCATTTTGTAGCTCAAATTGTTGCTTTTTTGCTGGCTCACTTCAGCTTGTCCAACTCCTGGCCAATGTCTCTGTAGGACCCATACCACCAACATCAGAGGAACAAGAGCCCACACAGATCTGTCTGTCTCTGTGGGCTTGTGCTTGCGAGTTCTAGCTTGTTCTTGCCTTCTCATCCCCAATTCATGTCCTTCCTGTCTGCCCTGTGGGCTTCAGGCTCCAGCATCAGATGCAAAGACGTCTTACAGAGACTGCTTAGCCAGCTCCAATGATTGTAGCAAAGTCTCTTTCTCTCTCCATAATATTTAATATTCTGCTTCTTGGATCAAACCCTAATGGGTACGTACTCATTTAGCAACCAACAAATGTTAATGGATAATAAACACTGAGCAGCTACTATGTACCAGACACTAGGTTCTAAGTGCTGGGGGCACAGCAGTGAATAAAACAAAGTCCCTGCCACCAGGGATCTCACATTTACTGCTGTACCCCCAAGACACAACACACTGCAAGAGAGGGGTTCTAGTGTTGACCTACTAGCAGTTGTGGGACCTTGGGTCAGAATCCCTTCATCTCTTCACACTTTGATTTTTTTTTCATTAGTAAAGTAGGAAGACCAACCTTCCAACCTACTTTTCATGTAAATGCAGTTAAAGCAGATAGAAGTTGAAAGACATCTGAGAAATACATAGCTCTAAAAAAAGATAAAGGAAGCCACGAAACCCCAAAACAAGTCCAGGATATTGTCATAATCTTTTATTATGTATCAAATTGTCTTCAACATAAGTTACAATCTGATTAAATTTGATAGACATTTTTTTAAATCTATTTAAAGAAAAAAAAATCTCTTTATGTACAATATCTTTTGTCTAGAGTCTAGCAAATATAGTACCTTTCATTGCAGGATTTCTGCCTAACATAATAAGCAAAAACAAACCAAAAATTATAAACCGAAGCAAAACAAGTCCCTCAATCTCTCAACTATCCATATGAATAAAGCATTAAAAAAGATAAACATAGAATAACTTTTTTCCTTGTTTATAAATGCAGAATGAATACTAAAAGTTAGTGGCAAAAAAAAGGAAAAAAAAAAGAAACAACAACAACAATAAAACTATAACAACAAAAATAAAACCCCAGGAAAATAACCAACGATCTTCAGGGGTAAACTTTCCTGCTCAGGAGTGCACGCTGACTCTAGACCATCTCTCGGCTTCTGCGGATAGCACAGCACAGGATCATACTGAAGATCATGCCAAAGATCTGGAAGACAGGGAGGAATAGGAGGAACAAGGTGGTTTTGCTGAGGGAAAGACATGAGTCATGCAGGCCAAGACAAAGGACTATGAGAATCAGAGGCCAAATGAATTAAATATCAAAGCAGGGGCGTGTAGGCTAGATAATGGGAGGGATCACTGACAGGTGGGATTCTGAGAGTCTGCAGCCACTTGCTAATGCAAGTAACTTCCCTGGAGAACTTTCAGGGTGAGACAAATACACTCAGAGCTAAATTAAATGCTCAAATTCAGATGTTTCCTTAGTCCACACAGGCTGGAACTTCGACTTCCACCTTTGTGTTTTTGTGAGTTTTATATTTTATTTGAAAAAGTATGGTTATCTCTTTTACTGAAAGCTGTGCCAAGCTCTTCTAGATGCAGATGAGAGGTACAAATAACCACTTAGAAAGGAAGCAATTCTCTCTTTAGGGGTAGTCTTGTGAGGGGCAGACGAGGGCTGTGTCCCTTGAAGAGTTCTCATAACCCCCTCCTGGGGGAAGAAGGGGAAACCCCAGGGAACCTCATCAACCCTTGATGGTTCCTGGGAGCTGATTACTAGAGAGTAGATTATTTGACGCATTGGGCTGTCCACTCTGGATGCCTTTCAGACTATAGAGGGAGATGAAACAATTCACATCCATGTAGCTTTCATTGACTATTTTTTGGGGGGAAAAAGAAGAGCAGGTGCATGATGAAAACATGTTTCGAAGATCATCCCAGGATAACTAACAGGTCTGGGGCGATCCAGACCCTTGCATGGTCTGTGGACCAGCAGCAGTGGCTTCACCTTACACTTACCCCTGAACCTTAATGATTAAGAGAATGGATTTGAACACTGAGTTCAAATCCCAGAAGCTTCACTCATGAGTTCAGAGACTTTGATCAACTTATTCAACCTCTCTGTCTCTCCGTTCCCTAGTCTCTAAAATGGGAATGCTAAGAGTTCCACCTCATAGGTATGGTGAGGATTCAATCAGCTGATAAATGTGTAGCACTTAAGATAGTGCCTGGCCAGAGCATACCCTTAATCAATGTTAACTACTAAGAGGACCCCCTCCTACCCCCCACGCCCATGTCCAGGACACTCACCATCACCACCGCGATCCCGATGCCCACGGCGCCGATGATGTGGAACTTGTTGTGGAAGACCTCTTTGATGGCCTCAGGGCAGGGCTTAGGGGGCAAACCAAGACCCTGGTCACACACGATCCCTGCTCACACCTCCTTCCTCCCACAATACCCGTTTCACACCCAGAGCATTGGTGGTTCCAGGGAAAGGGAAGGGGACAGGAGGATTCAGGTGTCTTGGTTGGTGCATTGAACGGAGAACCAAGAGAGGAATAGGAGGTGGGTCCCACATATTTGGATAAGAAATCATAGAAGAAAGAGGGGTAAGCCTCTGCTTTGGGTCTATTTCTTATCTGGGTTACATCATTCTGCAGTTTGGACATTAGCTGTAGTTTACAATCTTGAGCCATTTACAAGTCTACAAAGCCAATGTCCTTGACTCAGAGCAAGGACATTGAGTGCTGGGGGAGGCAGAACATGGGGCAGCACTGGGCAGTTCCAGCTGCCAAATCATTGCAGTCCGCTAGAAGCACTTTGCTATTTCCCTGGTCTGGCCTTTGTTTTGCTGCCCTTGGGGACCCAGAAGGCGCCAAGGCAGTGGAGAAATGAGGTGACCACCCTGGGATGTTGCAGGTGGAAGACATATTTGTGAAGCACTTAGATGCCTGTCCTCCCAGAATGAGAGGGCAAACTTCACTTCTACCCCTTATGGGATTTGCCCAGAGCAAGTGGGCAGGGGCACTTGCTCTTCACGTTTACCTTCACTGTGATGCTTGCAAGTATATCCTTTTTGGGGCAGATGTCCGAGATGAATTGTTCCACTCCCCCTACTATACCACAGCAATCCAACTGCAGAGAGAAGAGCAGGGATGGGGTGAGAGAAACAAACACAAAAGTGACTGAAATAGAGACGCACTGGTCTGGGGCAGCAAGTGCCCGTGTGCACATGCTCTGAGGATGCAAAGGCGACATACCGCATAGTGGATGGCTTTCAGCGTTTCCCGCTGGGGCTCGTCCTTGTTTTTCAGCTTGAGGTAGGTGTCCGTGTAAAATTCCTGGAGTTCCTTAATCACCTGTGATGGACCAACAGATGAGAGAGCAGCAGAACAAATGAACAAATGTCACCTGTTCCGTCTTCTCCACACTCAGACAACAAATTCCCGTGCTCGGGAAATGTTACCGAGCAGACTGCCCCCGTCCCCACGCCCCCACTTCCCCTCAGCCATCTCTGGGACCCCTCGCTCTCTTCCCACATCCTCTAGGAACTCTGCTCCCGTCATTCCCACTTCTCCTGCACCTATGGTTGGTCCCTTCGGTCACACGTGGCTCCTTCCCTTCTATCTATGAACAAAATGTTATCTCCTCAACTTAAATTAAAAAACAAAAACAAAACAGAACTCCTGATCTGGCTAGCTCCTCAGGCTTCCGTCTTCCTGTTTTCTTCACTCAGAGGCTGTGTGACTTTTGGCAAATTAACCAAGCCCCTCGGAACCTCACTTTCTGCATCTTTAGGATGGAAAGTATATTAATCCCTACCCGAGAGATTACTGTGAAAATTTCAATGTGACATTACATGTTAAGCTCTTAGCACAGTGTCTGATACAAAGTAAATTTGGGGAATAAGTATTACCTATTATGAAAGAAAAGAGATGTTACCATCCTCCCGTAATAGGGTTTGTTTCAACTTAATGGATGCTTGTCCCTTGGTCCCCCCACATCCACAATATCAATAAGCTGACCAACGTCCAGCCTTCCTCCTTCAGTATTTTTCATCGTTATCCCTTCCTATTTCCATGGCTTCTATCATCTGAATAATGAAATCATTTTTTTTTTTTTTAAAACAGGGTTCCCGCATCTAGTGTCTCTCTGCTTTCCTCCCTCCTGCTCAACATGACAACACAGTCCTTCCTAAAACATTGTTCTGACGTGGCCATCCTGGCCCATAATGCATTGGTCTCCCCATGGAGCCCAAGCTCAGCTGTGCTCAGGCCCTTTCTTTGCGGGGAAGTACCCTGTCTCCCACCAACGTTCCTCCTGAAATCTCTCTCACTCAAGGTTTAGGCCAATGCTCTCTTCTCCAGGAAGCCAGAGAGTCCCCTTTCCTATCCCACGGGGCTTTTGGATATAAGTGACTTCTGTGACACTTACCAAATGCATGTCTGTCTGCCACACTAGGTGGCAAAGGTCCTTAAGATGAGAGCAACAGTTTGTGTGGCGCTTGGCTCATATTTATAGACTGGGTAAAGGAGCAAGGGCGTCCAGCCCAGAGGGCGTGTTTCCCTAGGCCAGTGGTTCTCAACCTTCTGGCCCTTTAAATACAGTTCCTCATGTTGTGACCCAACCATAAAATCATTTTTGTTGCTACTTCATAACTGTAATGTTGCTACTGTTATGAATGGTAATGTAAATATCTGATATGCAGGATGGTCTTAGGCAACCGCTGTGAAGGTGTCATTCGACCGCCAAAGGGGTCGTGACCCACAGGTTGAGAACCGCTGCCCTAAGCTGTCTTTTCCAGAAGAACTGGGGAAGGGCTGCCGAGGTGTGAGACACATGCGCAGATACGCTGGCCCAATGACTATTTCCTGAACATCTACTCTGTGCCAACACCGTTTGGGGAACTGGAAGCAGTGGTTGGCACAGTACCACCCAGGGTAGTATAACGCTCACATTCCCTGCCCTGGGGAAGCTCACGTTCTGAGGGCATGTGGGAACGTGGTGGAATAAGAGGCGCGATGAAAGCTGACCAAGCTGGGCAGCCAGGACACCCTTCTGCCCGCATCACCCCTCATCTGCAAACTCCCAAACCCGAATCACCGGGGGCCCCGAGATCTTACAGAAAGCACCTACCTCATCTTTGTGCGAATATCCCCAGACGGCCGCAGCTATTTCAAGGGCAAATATCACCAAGAGGAACATAAAGAACTAGAAGGTAAAAAGGGGGGTGGGAGAGGAACAATCTTAGCCAACCAGAAAAGTAAAGGGTATCCTGGCAAACAAGGAGGAATAGCAATTCCCTGGGACCGGGCACCTGGGGACACAAATGGAGCTGTTCCCAGAAGTGGGGGAGCTGAGAGAGCTAAGCCCGGGCGAGGAGTGAAAGCTGCAGCAGGGAAGGCCTGGAGGGAAGGCCTGGGTACAGGGGGCCCCAGCATTGGTATTTCTAAGGAGTTAATTAGAAGCCAGTCAATGATAAAAACCACTGCTCACTCACAAAACCACAGAGATTTGAGGAAATAAAGTGAGAACACTCTGGAGTTTGAGGAAAATTGTAACAAGTTTTTGAAAAAAGAGAAGGCACAGGTACCTGTGGATTCAGGGAAAGAAAGCAAACATGGCCCTCGAAAAAAGGAAAAACAAAGTCCTGGCATTTAGTCACCTGAGGGAAAGTGATAAGATAGAGACTCCAGAGAGGAAGAGAGGGAGGCATCACCACAGGGGAGAGGACAAGACAGCTAGCTGCCTGGCCAGGAGGCTGGGGTAGGGCCCCGAGTGGAGGGACTCTGGGGGTGCTGAGGACAGCTCATGCCCTTGGGGTATCCTATTCACACTCCCCTCTCTCAACCCCTCTACCCCCCTTCCCCAGCACCACCCTGCCCTGCCCCACCCTATCTGTTCTATGGGATCTCGGGGCAGGGGGTAGGGTGGGTGTGGGGAACACAGAAAGGATACTCACCAATCCCAGCATGCACTGGGACTCTTGCACAGCCCCACAGCAGCCCAGGAAACCCACCAGCATCATGAGGGCGCCGGCTCCAATCAGAATATAAACTCCTGAGGATAGAGGACAGAGGACAGGACATGGAGGTATTAGCATGGAGGCCCAGCTGTTTCCTGCAATTCCATTTTCCCTTGATATGACTGTGCTCCCTCCATCTCTCTGCCCCCTTCCACCTTTGCTCTCAAGCCTCCTTCCCACCAGTCTCTCTTCTAGGGCCCCATGGCATCAAGTCCTCACTCCTACCTTACCCTCAGCCTTCCTGGAGGGTGCCTATACCCCTTAACTGGGACAAAGAATATCCCTGGGAGCCCCAGATTCTACGAAGGACACAAACTGCCCTAGTCTGTCACCTGTTTCCAGCTAGATGAATCCACTTACGTTAATGAAAACAGACCCCCCCAAACTCAGGGTAAATTCCTGGGACTCTGATGAGCACCCTTCCAGCCTCTACCTGGCAGAAGAAGCCGTCAGGGCAAGCTTCCAGCAGCAAGGGTCTGTGCACACTGGGACAGCCGGCCCTGCCATGGGTGGCAGCGAGGCATGCACAGTGACACCCAAGGGCACATGTTGGCAAAGGTAGAGCAGCTTGCTCTAGTGCAGAGAAGATAGGCCTGGTGTCAGGAGACCCTTGACTGGGTCCTAACTCTGCTACTAAGTTCTGTGTAATCATGGGTAAGACAGGTTCCCTTTCTTGGTCTCAGCTTCCTTATCAGTAACATGAGAGGTTGGCTGCTAGAAAATTTAAAAAAGATCCTGCCCTTAGAGCACACTACAGAGATCTTGCGGTTGCAATTCGGTTACTCCAGGTGAAGGGTGAAAAGGCTCTATCCTCTTGTTAAAGGCGGGGTGTGAGTGACACGTTCTAAGCCTTCAATTTTAGTGACCAATGGAGAGGGGGTGATGAGAAGGGCAGTGCCTTTTACAATTTCTGACTATGCCCAACAAAAGGCATAGTCCTGGGATGGGGATCCAGGGGAGCATACTAGCCCTAGTCACCCCTGGGAATGCCCTGAGGGGCCCAGGTTGCAGTTATATTCTGGAGAAGTCACAGCGGTTCTTCAGGGACTACCCTACCCCCCTCACGCAGGCCCCATGGGGCATTTCCACCCCGGAAGACTGGGTTTGAAATCCAGCTCGGTGACCCTGGGAATGCCACCTCATCTCTCTGAGCATCACTTCTCTATCTGCAAAGCGGGGATGGTCACGTCCACCACGAGGTGGTTGTGAAGATTAAGTGACATGTCATCAAGATGTGCACAACAAATTCAAGCTACTTCTAATCTTAAGAATACAAAGGATGGGTGACAATTATGAATCATAATGATGAATTTTTATATACTTGCTGATCCCTCCCTGCTAAGTGGGACCAGGTCGACTTTCTTGAAATAGGGGCTGAAAGGGAGAGAATCTATGATACTTCCACACAATACACAACAGGACACTGCAGTGATAACCCTGGGCAGGTGTCTGTGACTTCACTGGTCCACATCTGGACCCCAAGTACGGGGCCGAGGCTTTGCAGGCCACAAATCGAGCAGTCTGCCTGCAGCTGAAGCTCACGGGCAGCACCGAGCAGAATGCACACAAGGGAGCGTTTGTGTCTCTGCCCCCTTTGCCCCACATCTGTCGTGATGTCAAGTCACGTGGGTTTACTGGCAAACCCCTACGCTGTATGAATATGGGTATTGTTCCCGTGCATGCCTGGCTCAGACTGGGCAAGGGGACAAATGCAGCTTGTCCTTGAGTCAAGTCCCATCCTCCCGGGCAGTTCCATACTGCGGGGCCCAAGCCCCAGGAGCTGCGGAGGAGGGCTCTGACATGAGGACACCCATGCGTGCGTCCGTCCATCCGTCGAGGCAGTGACACGGCCTCAGCTTCTCCCCCTCTTATCGGGAAGACAATGAGGATGAGTCACTCCTCTGAGCTCCATAGCAAGGACTGAGTAAATAGGGGTTATTAAGAGATCTAAAGGATTTACAAACACACGAAATCCGTTGAGTGGGAACGAACAGACAGGCATGTTTTCTCTAAGTCCAGATCCCAGTTGGTAGGCCTGGAGAGCCTGGCAGAAGTCGGGGAGTTGGGTGAGTAGCATTAGGGATCTGTGATAGGGAAAAGCATTTCCAGTGCAGATAGCTAGCTAGCTAGAGAGAAAGAAAGAAAGAAAGAATAGTCTCCTAATCGGCCTCCGTTAATAAGAAATATTCATTCTTGGGCTTAGCGGACGAAGACTTTAGGACAAAGGCTGCTGTTGGCTTTAAATCTTGCTCAAGCAGCTGCAGATTTGGGGTGTCTTGGCTTCACCCTCTCCAGTTCCCTGGCAGCTGTTTATGGGGATTTTAGCAGCAGCTGTAAGATGGCTCATCTGCAAGCGCTCCACCCTGGAAGTCAGGGGAGTGGGCTGCTGCTAAAAGGGCCATCCCTGCAGGGATCCTCCTTGCTAAGCTTCGCTTAGCCTCCACCCCAGCTCGCTAGCAAGGGCTGGCCATCCAGATAACAAAGCGTTCTCCTTTATAAAACAAGTGAATGTGGGCTTTCCATCTGACTCATGGAAAAAGTTATTTGTCACAGAGCCTTCTCTAGGATTACTGTGTAGTTTGCTCAAGGGTTGTTTATTCTGCTTTTTTTTTTTTTTCAGGCTGACATTATAGCTGCTAGTATTTAAAAAAGCCCTTGGTGTAGCAGTGGCAGATGCTAGGGTGTCCTTTCACCTGTTTATCAGGGCTCGGCGCTGGCTGGACAGAGGACACATCAGCCTCCTGTCACCACCTCAACGCCATCTTGCAAAAAGCACTCACCATACCTGTTTGTGTGGAGAATAAAACCCAGCAGAGCTCCTGGCCTCCACTTGCTTAGAACAGTTGATTATCTCCAATTAACATAATCAGGGTTCCCAGGAACCCCAACAGCTCTCTCTGTCCCTCTCCATCCCATTGTTTTCATTAATGAGCACCACTGCGAACCCCCTTTGCCAAGCACAGAGTTCTCTGCCTCCCAGAGGTGTGGGTGTGTATACTCTGCCAGTTTTAGGACAGGAAGACGAAGAGACACAGAGCAACAAAACAAGCTGCCCCAAGTCATAAGCTGGGAACAGGGAAGTCAGCTGACGTAGGCAATGCGTCAGGTACCCTGTCACAAAAGGGGAACGTTCCTTGAGAGTGTGGATGCCCATGGTCTCTGGTTCACCAACACCCCCACCCCCCCCACCCCCCCATGCCCTCATTCAGTGGCTATGCTCTGGGAGGACACCAAGGAGTTAAGAAGGGCTGCTGGCCCGAGACCAAGAAAATGAAGTTCCCCAGCATGTTTGCAGCCTGGGATCACGAATACTGCTGACGGGCTGACTCTCCCAGGGCCTGAACAGCAGACAAGGCCCTTATAAGGCCGTCTGTCAGCTGTTCTGCTTCACTACGGCCTGTTTTGAATGTTGGAACGTTTCTTTTTCACTTGCTTCTCTGCCTGGCTATCCATTCTTTCTCTACTTTCAAAGCTGTGGTCCTTCAGGTTTCCTGATGGGCCAGCTATATGGTCAGGCTGGCCTGTGGATTGCCCTGCAGATGGTCAGTGCCCCTGGGCAAGGGATGGTCACCTCCTGATGCTGGGAATAGCAGCTGGGGTAGAGCTGGCACACTGCTGGAAGAGGGCAATGGGTCAATACCAAGGCTGGTGTCACAGTCCGAGTGGAAGGGGACACAGTGTATGAAGCCTCCTTAGCTCTTTGCCCATGGACCATAATGATTGAATTCCAGAAAGCATTCAGGGAAGGGCAGGGCCAGGCTAGACCCAAGTGGCCATCCCAGCTGATTGATGCTCTGGTGTCACTTGCATCACCCTTTGCTCCCTGAGCTTCTGCAAGCTGAGATCTTTCCCAGGGAGGGGGTCCAGCTGCAAAGGGCCCATTTCCTCTGTTAGAGCTTAAGGCTGTGTTAATGCAAAAAAAAAAACAAAAAAAAAAACTACCAAAAAACCCACATGCATTGTGTCTCTTTGGGATTGTGCCTTCCAATCCCTATCCTAGTCACCCCTAGTGGCCATGGGGTGGTGGGAGGTGGGGAGGGCCTTCAATGACCTGTGAGGTTCCCAGAAGCAGGTCCCGGCTCCCTCAGACAGTGTGCTCATCACTCTCCTGACACTCTACACGACTTTCCCACCTGTCATCTGCTGGCTGGGGCCACCGATACTTGCGGTTTCCCCCCTCCAACTACAATTTGGGCGAAATCAAAGGCCCAAAGAGCCCCCACCCTGCCCCCACCCCTGGGTAACATCCGGTCAGTATAGATATGTTCCATTCCTACATAGGGGAGTCCTCCCCACAATCCAGTACAGGTCATACAAGAAGAAACTTTCACAGGACGGAGTTCAAATCCTAGCCCTGCCTTTTGAGGGTATGGCGCTTGGACAGGTTATTAACTCCCGAGGCCTCGGTTTCTTCATCAGTGAGATGGGGATCACTCCATGTACGGTAAAGAGTTCCCGTGATTCATTACATAACCACACGTGAGACAGTGAAGGACACACAGAGAAGGGTCAGTGGGAGAGTGTGGGAGCTAGGCCCCCTGCAGAGAACTATGGGAGGTGCCTGGGGGCTCTCCTCAAGAGGACCTGCCTGGAATGGCTGCCCCCGCCTCCACATTCCTCCAGCAAATCTGCTCTCCCCTCTCCCTGCAGAGGGTTCCCAGCAGCCTGGTGTGACATGACATGACATGACAGGAAATGGAGTGCTCCTGGTCTCCCCCCAGCACTCCGCCCCCGCCCCTCTAGTTCTGTAGGCGGCATTCCAGGGCTGCCACAAACTCACAGAAAGCAAGCTGTTGCTAAAACAAGTCGGGGCACTATGGAGACCTGCTCCCTGAAAACTGTGCGCAGTTTAAAAATGCACACATGCATTGTGCTTTTCTTTCCCTCAGTTTTTTCTCACAATACGGAGGCACACCCTAAAAAACCCAACTAACGACAACAACAAGAAATAATAAGAGCCTGGAAACCATCCACAGAGCCCGGGGCCCTGGAACCATGTGGCTGGCCTCTGGGAGGCGGGAAGGAGGGAATGACTTCGTTAACCTTTCACAGTCTTAATGGAATCTGGATGCTCCAAGTGCTCATTTGTTTATAGACTCTGGATGATACTACTTGAAAAATTTGTCCTTAAATATGCTGATCAATTATGCTCATCTTTCTTTTTTTTAAATATTTTTATTGATTTTTTACAGAGAGGAAGGGAGAGAGATAGTCAGAAACATCGATGAGAAACATCTCGATTAGCTGTCTTGCACACCCCCCACTGGGGATGTGCCCGCAACCCAGGTACATGCCCCCGACCGGAATCGAACCCGGGACCTTTCAGTCCGCAGGCCGACGCTCTATCCACTGAGCCAAACCGGTCTCGGCTCTTCATCTTTTTTTTTTTTATTTTAAATAACTTCTTTTGTGGGTGGGAAGGAAGTGACCAAACTTATACTTTGAGCCTGATGATGCAACAACACCATCCTAAAAATAGGGGAAATGGGGGCTGCTTTTGTTTCTCGCAAATGCAATGTTTCCTATTCTGAAACTGGGCAGAAAGTAGAGTAGCAGAGCCTGTGTCGTCCCAGAAACTGGGCAATTGTGTTTGACAGGCTCCCTCCATGCTCCCACTCATTTTAGAGAGGCGTTTACGTGGCGATACGGTGGTGAAATGTGACAGAATGATGCTAGGAAAAATGCCACGGAGCCTGTGGGTACAAAGAAACCCGTTAAGTCAATTCTTTTTTTTTTTTTTAATATATTTTTATTGATTTCAGAGAGGAAGGGAGAGGGAGAGAGAAACAGAAATATCAACGATGAGAGAGAATCATTGATCGCTGCCTCCCATATGTCCCCCACTGGGGATAGAGCCCGCAACCGGGGCAGTGCCCCTGACTGGAATCGAACCTGGGACCCTTCAGTCCGCAGGCTGACGCACCATCCACTGAGCCAAACCAGCTAGGGCATGTTAAATCAATTCTTGCTTAAGGTGGAAACCTTTTCCCTAAAGCAGGAGTGCTTGGCCTTTACACCAGCACCAGGGGTCCAGAGGGCTAGTGTCTCTGCTAGTCTCTCTTACTAATTTTGACTGTTATTATCCAGGAGGCAGGTCTTTGGGGTCTCAGAGCCCTTATCTGAACAATTGGGGAGGAGTCACTTCTCCTTTGTCTGGTACTGCGGATTCCGCAGGACAAAGCTTTTTGAATTGAGGAGATGATTAAGCCAGAGAAGACATGAAACAAAGAGGGGATCAGGATCCAGGACAGAGGTTCTTTCTTTTTGTGTGTGTTAATCCTCACTTGAGGATATTTTTTCCATTGATTTTCAGAGAGAGTGGAAGGGAGTCGGGGAGAGAAACATCAATGTGAGAGAGACACATTGATTGTTTGCTTCCCACACGTGCCCTGACCTGAAAATCAAAACCACAATCCTTCATTGCTCAGGTCGATGCTCTAACCAGTTAGCCACCCTGGCAAGGGCAGGGCAGAGGTTCTTAAATCCCCAAGAGTGGCAGCAACTTTGGTGGAGCCAACTTCACATCAGAGAACAGTTGAAACTCCAGACTTAGTCAGCATGAAAAAAGAAACCACATCAGACAAATGCAAATTCATGGGCATAACTACACAAAAGCAAAGCTTGAAAGGAACATGACTGACCAATGTGGCCAGAGCAAATGTCTTTCCCAAGGCCAAGTCCCTGGATCAACAAGGCATCTCTGCAGCTGGAGGAAGCACCAAGTCTCCCCATGCTCACCTGTGTAGAAGCTGGAATGACTATTTTCTTGCTCGAAGATGCTCTTCGTCTGAGAGTCGAATCGGAGCCATAGTCCAATGGCAAGGACTGCAATCCCAGCAAGCTGCAAGAAATACACGGTGTTGGCATTAATTCTGGCTGCCAGGGAGAGCACGGTCTCTGAGTGCTGAAGATGAGACCACACTTGGTTTCTGCCCCTCACCCATGTACCTGTAGTAGCAGCAGCCCATGTAGGATTGGGAGTAGGGGATCAATCCACTTGCTAAAAATATCAGTAAGCTGGGAATATACCTGTTAATAGTTACCTACTAGCAGTACAGCAAAATGGTTATTTTATGAACAATGGAATACTATACAGCCGAAAAAATGAACAACTATAGCAATATGCAATCCTATAGTGCATCTCACCATGTTAAACAAATGAAGAGCCGCAAGAATACATTCAATATATTCCATATAGTTAAATATTACTCTACTGTTTAGGGGTATATAGATGACAAAGGGAAGAAAGTGAAGTGATTATTATAAAGTCGAGTGGTGGTGACCTGTAGTAGGAGGGAGGAGTTCTCATCAGGGAAGAGCACTTGAGGGCAGGGTCTGGGGCACTGGCAATATTCCAGCTTTTGATTTGGGTGGTGGTGACATGGCTATTCACTTCATAGTTCTTCTTTAAGCCATTCATGTTTTATGCTCTGCTCTGTGTACATACCATACAATAAAACAAGAAATAAGCTGGCCAAAGGGCACACCCATGGTGCCAATGAGGGCAGCTGTGATTCCTATCAGACCTCAGAGTCCCCCCCAGGGCGTCCACATTTGCTCCTTTCTTTCTACACAGGGAAAACTTACAAGCTGACCCGCCCAGTTCTAGGTTAGGTACTTGCTCTCTTACCAGTATCCTTACAAACATCAGATGAGAAACCTCCAAGTGATCTTCCAATCTTATGGAAATCCCATTTCATGAGATACTGGACTGTGATGGGCAGACTTTCCCAATAAAGAACCAAACTAAGGTGCCAAATCCTGGCCTGGCATTATTGAACTAGATGCCTGTGGAGGTGGCCTCCTGCCAAGCCCTCTCCCCACCCTCAGGGCCAGCTGAGCTCCGTCTCTCATGCTCGTACCAGGACTTGCTGGGGAGTGACTCAGGCTGCAGTGTAGTGGCCAGCTGGCTGCCTGAGGGGGTGGGCTCCGGGCCAACGCCCAGGCACCAGGTTTCACTGGCCCACCCTTCTCAACAGAGACGCCCTACGTCAGAGCCCTGCTCTTCAGGAACCTTGGTTCTCTGCCCCCGGAGAGCTGAGGCAGCCCAGTGGTGTGGACAGGCCTCTCTTTCCTTCCTTTTTTGCTCCCCTCCTTTTCCCCATGACTTGGTGGTTGGGTGGAAGAGGAGAGACAGCAACAGTGGAAAGGGTGACCCAAGACCTCCGCGTGCAGTAGTGAAAACCTTGCCGAGACCCGCGGTGGTGTACACTGCCCTGGGTGTGTTCCCCAGGGACGGGCTGGAATTCCTGCTCAGAGTTCTACTCTCAGTCTCTCACCTGTAAAACAGGAAGGTGGCCCTTTCTTGCCTTTTAAGTATGTCTACAAATAAAGGAGACTATATATTACAAGTGATTGTGAGAACAACTTTGTCAGCATCTAGGTCACCACAACGACACTCCTACCCCCTTGGACAGTCACTCAGCATTTCCCCAAACCTCCCAGTCCCCACCTTAGGGAAGGCAACACCACACAGCAATAAAAATGGCACACTACCAATGGTCCATGGTCGGACAGTACAGAGAAGAAAAACTCATGGGTGCCAGACTTGAAGGAGCAGGACTTTTAGAGTTAAAACAAACCTCCATCTTATTAAGACAAGACATGCAGGCGAGCGAGGATCTCCTGGCTTAGGCCAAAGACAATGGACACGGCTCTGTGAGTCTCTCTCCCATTCCCAGTCTGGACACTCTGATTCAGACTGGGTTGTCCTGATTCATTAGAGCAGGGACATGCCATTAGGTGGGGCCCAGCTAGGACTCCCCGTATACTGGGTACTGGACAAGCATGCGCTTGACTTCCTGGTGGGCAGGCCCTGGCCTAGCTCCCCTGGGTCCCAGAGAGTTAAGAAGAAAGAAGGCGATGCTTTCCCCACTCCCCCACCCGAACACACGGAGGCCCAATCAGACCCTTGGAAAATGCGAGACAGGCTGCTGGCCTTGCAGACACACAAGCATCAACCTGAGAACCCTGCAGGCTGGAGCTTCACGCACAGCCGGAGGTTGTTCCAGGTTTTGGTTAGCACTTAGCCACAGACCTTCTCCTCAGTCCTCCCTCGCGCCCTCATCTTGGTGCTGCTGTTGCTGAGAGGCAGTGTCCTTTCTGTTCTAGGCTTGTGCTTATCAAAGAATTATCTTCAAGTCATCTCATTTTTCCAGTGGGTAAAGTTACTCAACCACCCACCCCTTCCTCTGCCAGCAAAGTTCTTAAGTCAGTCACCATGAAAAGAGTAAAAACAATCCCACCCGAAGGAACGAAGCCACAAAAGGTGATGGAAGGCTGCCCTGTGCACAGAGGCTTCTCATGGGCAGGACCTGGGTCTCTTTGGGAGTGATGCATGCTTGATAATGATGGGGCTCCCTCCAAAACCTCCACCGGTTAAGCCTCTCCCATTTCATAATTTCAAGGATCCCAAGTCAGTCTGTAGAAGGCCAGTCAGTTCTCTGGTCTACACGCACAGGTGATAATAAGGACATTTCCCAGAGAACTGAAACTAGCAGGGGAAAGACTTCAGTTCTCACCCAGTGAAAGACAAGGCCAGATACAGGAACACAGCTCCTGCATGTCTGGACCCCATCCCGAACACTTTGCGGAATGGGGGAAGAAGCAGCTGGTTCTGGAGAAATGGAAGAAGCGGCAACAGATGGCAGTCTCATACCTAAAGCCTCACCGTAAGAGAGGGGGAAGGGAGGTCAGGGGCAGGACGGGGAGCACTTGGTTCACCAGAGGAATGAGCCCTGCTGATTTTTTTTTGGTTGGATCACTGAGCTAATTGGCCTGAGGAGATGCTGTGTAAGCCATTAGTGGCCCCATTTTCTGTAATGCTATTGGAGAAACTGCTTCATTTGGCTGGGTCACAAGGCCATGAAATGAGTGTAATTGTCGCCACCTAGTAATGGCTTAAATGGTTGTGGGGGCAGCACTATCTAAGGGGTGCAGAGTATTCTGGGGAGAACTCCAATGATTCTCTCTTATCATTGATGTTTCTATCTCTCCTTCTCTCTTCCTCTCTGGAATCAATAAAGAAATATATTAAAAAAAATTCTTTTTCTTCACAGAAGATGGGCCATGAGAAAAACAAGACACACACCCAATGGAGGGCATTCTACAAAAGACTTGACCAGAACTTCTCAACACAGTCAAGGTCATGAAAAACAAGGAAAGACAGAAACTGGCTTAGACCAGAGGAGATGAGAGGCGATGGAGACTGACAACTGTCCCAGCATTGTGGAGGGGATCCTGGGACTACACGTGTGTGTATCTAATATAAAGAAGATGGGGCCTCTCTCAAGGCTTCCCATCTCTTTCAAGAACCTGCTCCATTAATCCACCTTTCCTGCCTCTGCACTCTGTCTCTGCCACTGTCTCATCCTTTGCCAACACACATGGGCAGGTGTATCCATCCTGAAACACCAAACAGAAAACAAAACCTCTCTTCCTTCAATCTCACTCCGAAAGGCTGCAGACAGCTTAAGTCGGTCACCAACTTTTAAGGCTTTTTGTTCTGTCTTCACATTGTTTGATCTCCCAGAAGCATGACAGCACTCACCTCCGCCTCCTCCTCACCTGCTCCGTGCATGGGAGCACTCAACGTTTCCCAAATACGTCTCGTCTCGTATGCTCCTGCCTCTGCTCCTTCAAGTCCCTCCTCCTGGAATGTGGTCCTGGCCACCTAGGCCTGCTGTTTCCCACCAAGATGCCCTCAATCCCTTGAGCTCCACATTGGCTCTGCAGCACCCTCACACCCTCCCTTCCTCTCATGAGTGTGCTTGTCTGTGTCTCTAACCAGAGCTTAGCTCCTTGAGGGCAGGGCCACTTCTTACTCATCTCCATGGCTCCCCTGCCCCATTCATACTTCGGACAAAACGGTCATTAGTAAATAATTATTCCGCAAATGAAGGATTACCTCAATGAAAGAGAATCTCTGAAACCCACCAGAATTTCCTCCCTGGCCCTCTCCCCTCGGCAAGCCTCCTTTCCCATCTGAGTTTTCATCCAGACCCACCTTCGAATATCTCACAAGAAAAGTCAGAAATTACAAAGAACAATTACTTGCCCTGAGAAAAACCCACGAGGGTACGTGGTGAATGTCACAGTGAGATTTAGGAGCAAGTCCACATAAAGTCTTTTGAAAATGAGAGTTTATAAAAAGTCCCTGCACTGCTGTTTCACGCCCCGCCCCCGCCCCCCAAGAATCCAGTTACACACTCTGACATTTTACGAGCACACACACAGGTAACCCCGTCTCTGGGACTTATGACCATGTCAGGAGCCATGAAACTCAGCACTTCCCCAAGCCCGGGCCCACAGGGAGCAGCTTCCTCGTCTCCTCTCTGGCCACCGTAAACACTGTGCTGAAACACCCACGCAAAGACCAGGATCTCTGTGAGTCACACCAGTCTCGCTACAGGGACAGGCCCAGAAATCTTATACTGAAACGCACACCTGGAGTCCAAGGAACCAGCTCCAGCTCCAAAGGAGGCTGAAAACGAATCAGAGCAATGCCGCTTAGGGGCACCTGGCTGCTCTGGGCCCCACGCCCGAGTCTGCAAAATGAGTTCCAGTTAGAACCTGAGGAGCTGTTTCTGAAGAGGCCGCCCTATTGACGGAAACACTTAAAGTGAATGTGGAGAAAGATGAGGAGGTGACAGGAAGGAAAAGAGCAATTGGCTAATGATGAGGATGTTTCTGTGTGTGTGTGTGTGTGTGTGTGTGGAGGGGGGTTAGTTTGGGGGGGGGGATCCTGTGTCCCC